TTTAGAGATTTAAATGTTTCTTGAATTTTATTTTACACTCTGGGGGTAGGGGTTCACACCTGGTGGTGCTCAGAGGCTGTCCCTAGCTCAGTGCTCAAGGACCACATGTGGTGCTGGAGGTTTGAACAGAGTTTGTCTATGTGCACAGATAAAGGCTTAATGACTGTATTATCTCTCTGACCCTTGATTCTCCACTTTTGAAACTTAGGTATTAAGATTTTTTTAAGGTGAAAATGCTTTTAGCAGCTCTGGAAGTGTGTGTAAACATCTAAAGGTCTAAAGAGCCTAATAAAAAATGAGCTAGATTAGTAGTTAACTTTGAGGGTAAATTAAGTCTCTATCCCAGCATGTCTAGTTGTCCCCAATGGGCACATTCCTATCTGAGCAGCAGATACTCTAATTAACGCTTCCCTTCACTACCTACCTCTGAGGCATGCATCCAAGGCATTTCAGCTACTACTTCCATCCTAGAATCAGGAGTTGTACTAAATTTATCAGTTTAGTGTTCTTCTTGGTTGCATAGTACCAATGCCGATAGTGACATTTTAAAAAATGGTGACCAGTGTTACAAGTCAAAAAATCCTACTGTGTTTTTCCCAAACACAGTCCCCAGTCCATGAGGGGGACTGTCGAAGGAGATGTCTTTCTGCATGACAGTTTAATTGTGCATAGTCAAACATATGGAACTATTTCAGAACCATAAGAATGATTCTGTCTAACATTACTTCTATGCCCTGAGTTATCAAGCCAAACTGGAAATGCGAAGCCATCAAAAGGGTAACTGATCACTGAGGGAGACTCCCAGCGAGCTCAGTGTCAGCCCTTTGTGAACCATCTATCAAAACCTAAGAACAATCTGAGATGGATTAATCGAAACCATGTTTATTTAGGCAGCACCTTGGCTATGAATAGCTGCACAGCAAAAGTTGCCGTGAGGAGGGGTAGAATATTTAACGTTGTCCAATGCGGAATTCCACAATTGAGCCAATGTGTCTCCAGAGTTTAGAAAAAAGGGGGAGGGGGGAAGTGGAGAGATGGATCAGTGGGTTGGGGCACCTGCTTTGCATGCAGGAGGCCCAGATTCTATCCTCAGCACTGGATGGTCCCCCACATACCACCACCATGTCACTACCAGCATTGGTACTATGCAACCAAGAAGAACACTAAACTGATAAACTGAAGCACAGGGCAAAAAGCCTAGAGCAGTCCCTGGGCACTACTAGATGTGGCGTAAAAAGAAATCAGAATAAAGGAGAGAGGCTGGTCCTACCTGTATCTTGGGTGGGTAAGACCACATTGTTCACACATTGTTTGCATTGAATTGCATATTAATAGGGTCCCTGACAAACAAAATTCAAAAAAGGATTCTGTGCCACCTCCCCTACCCCTCCCACACACACACACACAGTGAGCCCCAACACATGCTTAGTTGGGGGGGGGGGAGTCTAAGTAAAGGAATTATCTGCTGCTCAAGTTTCATCCCAACAAATCGTTTATTGATTCAGCAAACATTTGCTCTGTGTCTCCGTGGAGGGAGGCCCTGTGTTAGAAAACCTTCCAGAACACAGAAGAGTATGGGAACAGACATAAACCAAGCTTAAGAATCACCAGCCAGCGAGTTGGAACAATAGTACAGCAGGTAGGCCATTTGCAAGAACTGGCAGGGCATTTGCCTTGCATGCAGCCGACCCGGGTTCAATTCCCAGCATCCCATATAGTCCCCCAAGCACCACCAGGAATAATTCCTGAGTGCAGAACCACAAGTAACCCAGGAACATTGCTGGGTGTGACAACTCCCCACCCTAGACCCAAAAAATAATCACCAAACCCTAATACAACTTGAAAGGCATCATGTGTCTAGAACAAATCTATTTTGGAACTGAGAAACAGGACTCACTAAATATTCTGGCAGTAAAGGACCAGAAAAAGCATCTGATGGAAGCACTACAATGGATTGAAAGGGTGGGCACTACTGGGAGAGCGGCAGTGAAGGGAAGGTGTTGGGGGCATGCCAGGTGGAGGGAATGCCACCTGGTGGGGAGAGAGTTGGAAATAGGGTGGGACTGAAGAACCAAGGAGCCCAAGTTACCCCCCCACAGGTCAGACTTGCCAAGTACTAGGAGAAAGACGGGACGGACACAGAAGAGAGGAGAGCTTGTATTCCAGGCTCCAGACATGGTGTTGAGGTGTCACAAGGATCTGGAATACACACGTGTTGAGCTGCTGTTTGCTTTGGGTGGGGGCGGCGGACAGACGTGGGGCAGGGAGAGCCGGCGTCACAGGCAGGGACTGGAGAGGAGAGCCCCACGGGACACTTCAGGAACTGAATTCACATCATTCCCTGCACAATCAGGTCTAAGGGAGGATGGGAAGAGCAACAGCCCCGCTGGAACAGAGAGTGGCTGAGGGACAGAGACAGTGTTGGGTATAGAAGGCCAGTGTGCCTGAGAGAGGGCTGGGGGCGTGTTTTTGGCTCTGAGCTTTCTCCCTCTTTCCCCAATTCATGAGCAACTCGCCAGGAAATGCCTGAAAAGGACAGACAAAGGCAAGAAGCTCCACTCTACTTAATGCCAATCCTATGACGGTAGGGACAGGGACGATGGCAGAGGATAGCAGGGCACCGCCCCCCTCCCCCATGAGATTCCCTAAAAAGCTCCGGCAGATTTGCTTTCTGTTTCTAAACACACCTTTCTTTACAACACACACACACACACACACACACACACACACACACACACGCTGAAAAGGCTTCACCTCCTAATTCTCCATTTCTTCATTATGAGAGATGGAGTTAACACTGTACAGGTCCTCTAGGTCAAGATGAGATGACCTGGGAGAAGACAGAAAACTGCGAAGCTCACAAATACCAGCACTTTGTAAGTTCTTTGGCGGCAAAAAACTACAGCTAATTCCTCTTGGTCTCCCACACGGAGCCGATGGTGGGAGGAGGCAGACGGACAGAATGACACCGCAGCAGCTGCCTGGAATTAGCCCGGAGCACTCCCTGCTACCTCCAGAAACGGGCAACTTGAATCATCTGCAGGTTTCTCTCTTCCTGTAACATTCCAGGTCACTGTGTGGAGGGCAAGGGATGGACATGGTTTCTGGTTTCAACCGTGTCTGGACACACATCCTCCCAGGAGCAGCCTTTGAGCTGGATGGGTAAAGATCATAAAACAGGGCCGGGGCAATAGTACAACGCAGGGTGCTCGCCTTGCACACAGTTGACGGGGATTCAATCCCTGGTATCCCATGTGGTCCCCCAACTCCACAGGAGTGCTCTCTGAGTGCAGAGCTAGGAGTAAGCCCTTGAGTACTGCCTTGTGTGGCACCACCGTCCCTCCGCCCCTCAAAAAAAGTTGAAAAAAAAGAATCAAAACCTTCCCACTTTTTAAGCCTCAGCTGAAGGGCCTACTTGGGGTAGGATTCAAATCCAGACTGATACTTGACATCTCTCCCTCCACAGCTCACTAGAGTTTCACTCACAAGCTCATACTAAGAAATATCACTTCAGCATTTAAGATCTTTCCAGCTCCAAATTCTGTCTTATTGAAACTGGTGAGATAGTAGAGGATTAAGATGCCTGCCCTGCCTGCGGCTGACCTGGTTTGAATTCCCAGTATCACTGCGGTCTCCGAGCACTGGGGGTCCCCCTGAGCATAGAGCCAGGAATAGACCCTGAGCACCACAAATGTATCCCTAAGTCACTCCCCCACTCAGAAAATAAATCTTTCATTAGAGGGTAGTCATCTTATTTCATCCTGCCTTCCTGAGCAGTGTACTGACCTATGTCTTAGGTTGCTGCTGTTGTATTTTGTTTTGTTTTTGTTGCTCTTTGGTTTCGGGGACACACCCGATAGTGCTGGGGGCTTACTCCTGGCTCTATGCTCAGGGATCACTCCTGGCCAGGCTCAGGGGACCATTTATGGTGCCGGGTATGGAACCCCAGTCGGGCACCATGCAAAACAAGTGCCCTACCCACTGTACTATCATTCATGCCCAAACGTATGTGTTAAAGGAGGAAGAAAAAAAAAAACAAAACCTATTTCAAGGGCCACATGTGACAACAGGAACATCACAAATAACAGAATCATCAAAACCATAGAAACTGTCTGTACATAGTACCCCCCCCCCCATATTCCAGACGCATCCTCACAGCTGTACACCCATCCCTGCAGGAGCCACACTGGACTGAGGCAGTCAGACGGAAGAGGGTCCCCTAACTAAAGTGTATTTAACACACCTGCATCAAGAAGGCAGGGTTAAAAAGGGAGGGGTGGGGGAGGAAGACCTTGAAAACTTCCAGCCTGGATCTATGCAAACAGATTTGCCTCCACGGAAGAGGTTCCAAGTGGTACAAGCCACAGAGAAAAGTACCCCGATTATTATAACCATCAGCGTTCAAAGGCTTTCCACCCGGGCCGTAGAGATATGAAGCCGCTAAGGAATCAGATGACAGTTGCCTCAATGCCCTCTTCCTCCTCCAGGCACAGAGGCTGTCTATCCATCACAGCCCTTCTAAACAGAAGCATTTAAAAAAAACGCACGTTTTGCTCCCTGTATAAACTCCTGCGAGAGAGCTGCAATCGCCCCTTCTCCTGGGGGTGTGCCAAGCCTCGTCCTCCGGCTTCACCTGGAGTGTGCCGGCCCCTCCAGACCACCCTCGAAACAGACCCGCCGTCCTGCGTGGCGCCCAAAGCTGACGTTGCCTTTTCCCGTCCGGCCGGTCTCCCGCAAGCCCGCTCCCCACTCCCGCCCGCGGCCGGGGATCCAAACGCTCGGGACCCGCCAGGATCCTGGATTTAGGGCGCCACAGACTCGCACCCACCCGCCAGGTGAGCCCACCTGCCCCGCGGCCAGCTCAGGGGTCCCCGCCACTCCCCCCCCTTGCCAGCGGCCCACCCTCGCGGTTCCCGCGCCACGGCCTGCCCAAGGCGCGGGGAGCCGGCGCGTCCACCCGTGTCCGTGAAACCAGGGGGCGGGAGGGAAGCTTCCTTTACCGACGTGAGTGATCACGGTGGCCAGTCGCCGGGTGAGCTCCGGGGGGTCCATCTCCTCCTGAGCCCCGGCCTGCGTGTCGCCAGGACCGCGGCGCACAAGTTTCCCCCGCTGCGGGCGGCGCGGGGCCACGGGCATCTGCGTCCACCTATGCGCCGCGCTCGCCCTCGAGTGCGCCACCAAGCCAGGGTCTCCCCGAGGCGGGGGGGGGGGGCGCCGGCCGCGCCCTGCTGGGTAAAGGGGTCTTCTACAGGTGAAGTTGGGCCACCCAGCGCCGCGCCAGGCTCTCGCGGAGAGGGAAAGAGATGGCAGTGGCGGGGTGGCTAGCGCCGGGCGCCCCAATGTCGCCGGAGCCGCGCGTCCGCGTTCCCGGGTCGAAAGAGCGCGGAGGGGTCGGAATTCGTGGTCCTGGGGCGATCGGGGGTCCGGCGCCGCCTCCTGGGGAGCCTCTGGCTGCAGACGGTCGCGCGCGGGGGGAGCGTGGGGGAGCGTCGGCCCCCAGCGGCGGCCCGGGGGGTGCTGGGGCTCGGTGCCACCCACCGCGCGGGGCTGGGGAGTGGCAGATCCCCCCTCCCGGCCGCGGCCAGCTCAACCGCTCGCGCCAGGTGCCCACCTTTCCCCGCCCGGGAGAGGCACCGGGGGCTCCGCGGGAGGCGCGCACGCGCCCGAGCGCGCCCGGATTGGGGGGGTGGGAGGGGGAAGCCGCGCCCCTTTTCCAGCGCCGAGCGGGAGCTCGGGCTCCGGGAGTGCCCGCGACGCGGAGACAATCCGTGATCGAAATAGTCGGGTGGGGGTAGAGAAGGAGACTGCCACTCAGGGGTTCCGATCGCCACCCGCACGCCCCCTCCTTTCCCCCCCAGGTGTCAGCCGAGCGGAGCGGAGGGGTCGCGTGCCGCGGGGGGCGCGGGGTTCGGGAAGAGGAGGGGAGGCCCTGCCATCCTCCCGCCGCTCCAGACGGCCGGCCAGAAGGAGGACCGGAGTGTGGAGCGGGGGCGAACCGAGTCCGATTGCGCGGTCGTGCTTGGCGGGGCCACTGCCCAGAAGTGCGCCTAGGAGCCGGGCCTTGCAGGGACAGGGCTGGGCGCGTCTGTGCGCGCGGTCCCAAGCGAGCCCGCCGGCTCCTTTGTGCGGCTGCCCTCGCGCGCCACCGCCCCAGCTCGCGGCCCCACCCAGGAGAGACTCAGGCTGGTACCGTCCGACCCCAGGCGGGCTCCACCCTGCGGGCCCGCAGCAACTGGGTGGGCGCCGTCCACGGCTTCAGGACGTGACTCCCGACACTACCTGACACTCAGCAGAATACTAACCCTGTCCAGCCGAGCGCTAAAGGAGAAAGAAACCTGAGCAAAGGCAGACTGGGTCAGGTGGCCCCTCAGTTCAATCCGTTTAGGGAGGGACCCAAGTGTCGGCCTTCCAGAGTACCAGAACTGCGGACACATCCTGCGCCAATCACCCGGGTCTCCGCCAGAGTCCTTCCCGACGTGCACAAAGCCAAGCCCGCAAGGAGCCTGATTTCATTCCTAGCCACTCATGCCAGGAAGTGCCCACCTGGGTTACTGTGTCCTGGGAGGCATCGAGTGTGTAGCGCAATGGTGTTGCCCACGTTTCGCGCGTGTGGGGCCTTGGGTTCATCTCTCAAGGGGGAAATTTTATTTTTAACTGTTTTCTGTTAGGATCGTGGGTCATGGTTGGGAGATGGTGCAATGTCAGATTTGTATGCTCATTGATCCCTGCCAAGAGGTTGGGGGGCTTTGCCTGCACCAGCAGAGCCGTTTTATGCTGCACGAGATTCAGAAAAAGGAGAACACCCACCACCCCCAACCACCCCACCACCACCCCCGGAGGAGCAAGCGTGCTTTGGGTTGTGTTTCCGTGGTGGTTTCTGATTCAACAGTCACGAGCATTTTCCAAAAATTCCTGTCAATAATAGCAGAGATCCTGGTGCCGGGCAGGCATTGTGAGTGAGGCGTTAGAAACCAGCTGGTTGCCAAGGAGATGGCGACGTGGCGCACTCCGGGTTTGCAGGTCCAGTGGTCAGCAGCAGCCCGTGTTAGTGCAATCTGTCGGGCAATCTTGAAGGGGGTTGGGGGAGAGTGAAGGCATGGGAGGTAGTCCTAGGAGGCAGGAAGGGGAATGGGGGAGAGACAACGAAAAGGAAAACAAAACCTACAGAGTGCCTCATTCCTTCCCCACATCTGTGTCTTCAAACCTTCAAAGGTTTCTATGGAGACAAATTGGCTGAATTGATGGCAGGATGTAGTAGCTGTGCCTGTCCTCAGAAACCAGTCACCACCACCTCACAAGCATCATCTCTAACACACTCCATGAAGGAGGTTGGGGGTGGGGACCTCCAAATTTCCTTTTCACTTATGAAATCCCGGAACTGCTAAAGCTTTTTCTCCCCCTTGTTCTTCAAAAACAAAAGAGGTGATAATTTCTGTTGCTTTGGGAGGTTGGAGTTGCTGGATACCCAGTGGACTGGCCACATGCAAGGTTAAGTACCTTAACTCCTGTAGCATCCCTCTGGTCCTGACTCCACTGCCTTTGTGAATGTGGTTGTTCGTCCCCTCTTTCAATCCAGGGTCTTAGTCTGTGCCACCTACTGCACAAGAGAGCTCACCCACCGACCTCGTGCCTCTGACATCTTGTGTTTCCTCAACCCAGAAAGCCCCACACATGTAGGTGGTGGGGTCCGTCCTGCTTCTTTCTACCTTAGTGCGCATCCACGGTGTGTTTTTCTCAGTGTCACACTCATTCCTGGAACACATTTCCTTTGTGGGATGCAACAACAAAATACAGAAAGCTGGAGTGAAGAGGCAGGGGAAAGGAGGGCTGGAGAATCCATCATGATTCCACTCCCACCTAAAATCATTGGCATTTGTTTAAAGTATGATTTTAATTAATAGACTATTTGGGGGAAGTTGTAGAGTTGCAAGTGGGGATGTCTGGGAAAAGTATCACAGTAGAAAGATACCCCAAATACCCACTCTCCCTCTGAAGTTTCCCCTGTTATTTGGGGTGGGGGTGTCGGGAGGCCTTCTGTGCAGTGCTCAGGGACCCCCCCAAGAACAATTCCCCATACACTTCTGACTGGGGCCTGAGAACACAGTGCTGCTAGGGCTTGACAATGCTAGGAACCAACAGGGCCACACCTCTCCCCAACCCGTTATGTGTACTCTGATTTATTTCTCTCAAAAGGCTAGTTAAGAAATATGGAAAATGTAATTATGATGATTGATGGTTCAACATCTTGCAGGAGTGTTGTGCCTTTATTATAATCTATGAAGCAACACTGATGTATCATACTAACTAAAGGATACTTTGCATTAGGTTTCACTCTTTGTGTTGTATTAGTTGTACTAGTCTTTGAGTTCTGGCTAAAGCATCATGTCTTTTTTTAAAAATTTTTATTAGTGAGACATCATGAGGTACAGTTGTACACTTACAAATTTTTGTGCTTGGGTTTCAATTATACAATGATCAAATACCCATCCCTCCACCAGTGCCCATTTCCCACCACCACGGATCCCAGTACCCCTCCCACTCCCCATCCCCCCTATTCCACCCTGCCTCCGTGGCAGGTCATTCCCTTTTATTCTCTCTCTCTTATTGGGTGTTGTGGTTTGCAAAAGAGGCAATGAGTAGCAATCATGTTTGGTCTATAGTCTACTTTCAGCATAAAGCATCATGTCTTATATCACATATTATTGCAATTATCACACAGAATAATTTCACTGCTTTAAAAATTCCCTATGATTTACCTTTTCATCCTCCTGTTCCCTGCAGCCTGGGACAAGTAGTGATCTCTTTTCTCTCTGTGGTTGTCTCTCCAGATTGCAACATAGCTGGAATCCTTTAGTAGGTAACTTCTCAGACTGGCTGCTCTCGGCCAGCAATAAGCATCTAAGGTCGGGGCCAGAGAGAGGTGGTATAGCAGGTAGGATATTTGACTTGCACACAAACCCAGGTCTGATCCTCAGCATCCCTTATGGTCCCTTGAGCCTGCCAGGAGTAATTCCTGGGTGCTGAGCTGTAGGTATTAACCCCTGAGTACTGTTAGGTGTGCTCCCCCCCCCTCCAAAAAAATAGCTAAGGTTTCTCTTTGTCCATTGGTAGTTTGATAATGGCTTTCTTTTTTTAATCACAAATATTCTATTGAATAGATGTGCCACAGATTGTTTATCCATTCACCTACTAATGGATATCTTGGTTATTTCTACTTGGGCAATTAAAACTGCTATAAAAATCTTTTCACGGGTTTTCACATGAGCATAAATTTTCAGTTCATTTGTGCAATGGCTGGATTCTGCAATAAGACTGTTTCTCTGTGTAAGACACTAAAAATTGTCTTGTGAAACCATTCTAAATCCCCATGAGCATTTAATGACTGTTCTTGTTACTCCATATCCTCATCAGCATTTGGTAGAATCAGTGCATAATTTTATTAAAACATCTCAGAAAAATATATTAATGCTTAGAGTTGTATGACGTAATCCAGTGCAATTCTATTGTGTTTTATTTTCCTGCATCTGTAGTTCCTTCCCCTCAGCACTTTGTATTTTGTTTTGTTTATATAAATAAATCCAAAAATAACTTCACAAAGATTCTATATCACAAGTTTTGTGGAAAATATTTTTAAAATAATTTCTTGGACTGGAGAGATAGTACTGGGGGAAAGGTGTTTATAATTTACCCCAATTCAATCCCCAGCAGTACACATGGTCCTCTGAGCACTGCTAGAAGTGACCAGAGCAGAGAGTAAGTCTGAGCACCACAGAGCGTGTCCCCCAACAAAAGGATTTCTTAAACTTGTGGGAGAAGACTCCCAAGTAGTGCTCAGGAGGACCAGAGATCCCACTAGTGATTCTCTGTCAACTTAGGGTCAATGGATAAGATGCTGCTCAGGTCCTTGGTGCCAGAATATCTGGGCCACCCGGGCAGTGCAAGAGGATGCCAAGCCCACAGTGGTGGTGCTCGGCATAATATATGGTGTTGAGACTTGAACCCATATCCTAGGCATGTGCTAGACATGTGTCCTAACTGCTGTACTATCTCCTGGCTTCTCTTAATTTTGGGGTTTTTTTGGGGGG